GGGCGCACCACGTGGAGGTAAGTCTATCGCACACCCCATGCCATCAAATATCATGGTCAGTGTTACAATAACAGCAACGAAGTGTAAAATAGGCAGCAGAATCAAATGCAAAATATCCGATCAGTGTCTATGGCATTTGTTCCTCGGCTCATCATCATTTCTAAATGCTCAACCTTGGTAATGAAGTTCCATACTACCACATTACCGAAAAGAGTAGATTTGTGCCTATTTTGCACATGGTCCAAGTATTTCCACATTGGAGAGGATATACGTTGTTCCTCCTCTATGCCTGTTTGAATACTTGAAGATTTATATTGGGTTGTGGGGTGTGTGATAGACTAACCTCCACTTGGTGCACCCTGGACAACGCATACTCATACCCCACTCTGTGAATCACTTTCCCGTTCCCCCTCTCCATTTTTTGTGATTTTGTCTGTTCCTCCTCCCCCTGTGAAGCCCGAAGTCAACTAAAGGGCTAATGATAAATATCATAAAGCCTGCCATTTGATATAAATAAATATTGAGTTGTTACTATATCAGTGGTCCACAACTACATCGTTATTATTAAGAACGCAATAAATTGAAAGTGAAAATATATGATTTATCACTAAATGGAAATAAAATATCATGAATTTTTTAAGCACAGCAGTTTGCAAAATTATCAACTTACACATTCGACGAAGGATTAAAATTCGTAAACGCCAACTCTCTTCCAATCTTTTTGAAACTAAAACGGGAAAAATTGCTACTAAAAGAAAAGAGACCATTTGGTATTTTACGGCGCAATTCCAACATACACTTCAGTTGAATCCGATGTGTAATCGACGAGGAATACACAGACAAGGCTTGAGCCATCTGACTGTGTGTGACGCAAATCGTAGGCACTAATGTAACCAAAGGCTGGATTCCTATTTTGCTCCACAAAGTTCGTTATATGTTGCTGTATGTCAACTAAATAAACAGCAATGTGGAAGGTAAGGTTATGAATATGTGAACATCTGCCAAGTATTTCACGTAAGTAGAAGTGAAACTAGTGGCAAAAGAATTTTTCATTAATACGTATCCGCCGGTGACAGCGATTAGCGCACTTCTGCCTTATATAGATGGTTCCAATCTCGATAACCATCGGCAATCATACATTGAGCAGAACCATTAACCTAATTAGGCAGCTCTGATCTCACTTTCTCCTAGGAGTCCGAATTCTGCCATAAATGATCATGTGATAGCTCATTTAAGTACGCTAGGAATACTCTTTTCCGAAATGTAACATATTTTCCACTTCGTCCCAATTTGCACCTGATTTATAGCTGTATTTAACGAAGTATCAAAGATTCGTTTCAGTCATTGACGATACTTCATAGGTGCCAGTGTATGCTGAGGTACTGATCCATAGCTATGGATCACCACCATTTAGCCTTTAAATACGTTGCACGCTTAGCACTCAGAACGAAATACCATGTTCAAGAACTTCGATACCCTCGTCCAACGTTCTTTAAAGCCCAACTCAAAATGGTCCAGATTTCCGTGGATATATCGAATAGGAAAGACACGAAAGATAGAATAGTTTTTGTGTCATACATTAGTTACAAAACACCACGAACCCGTCATATCTCAATCCAACAGACAACTTGAAAGGAACTTTAACTGAACCCTTCGTTTAATCAAATTGAACACATAGCAAGGTTTTCAAAACGCTGAGAGAATGTACTGGAAGTGAAATCGCCATCTAAACAAGGTTAATAGATAAAGTTCAAACAACTACGGTAATATAATTCAGCATTCCAAGCCACCGATTGCGCGTAAATATATTAGCGTTAAATAGATATGACAATTGTAATTCACTGTGAGGAAACACTGAAACAAAAAAGAAGAAAAAAGCAAGAAAAACATTTTTGGCGTACTGTCTTCCTCCCATTCAAGCAACTTCTTTCCACCATCTTTGTAGACGAAAATTTCACCCGCTTCGGTCTGTCCTTTCAGGTGATAGAAGGGCAACTGTAATCTATACTCTTCAGCAGTAGCATTATAGGCTTCCTAAATGTGAGCATATGTATACATTAGTAGAATAGTTTAATTACCCAAAGGGTTCCAGAATCTAAACCATAGAAGAGGAAGAATACGGCATCATAATGCTCTTCCACCTTTTCATTGAGTGCGTCCGCATTGGCCAACTCCTTAACAGGAGGTCTAGAAGGTGATAAGAGGAAGTAGGGATGAAGGTGATGTCTTAACTTACCCTAGAACATTTTCAACAAAGGTGACAATACCTTGGACTGTGCGTTCACCATTGAAATTATAAGACTTTCCACGTATGAACCTAGTAAATGTGAATAGAAAATTATTTATAATACTGCTCTTTTTAAAAAGACATTTAATGTCATTGTCAAAATTGGGGCACACAAAACGTGCCAGCTAGACTGCATTCTTAAAGCCATTCTTGCCATTGTGAGACTACGAAATTGACGAAACAGACCAGTAATGGTGAATCATATCTATGAACGACTCATCAAATGAACATGTACTTGTACACCTTACTCTCCAGTTCTAATGTTTGGGAGAAGAAAATGGCCATATTTTAACAGTAATATTTTCAAGGCAGGAGGAAAACACTGTTGGATACAACAATATTAAGAAAAAGAAATTGGTAATGCAAAAACTACTCTAACTTTAATGTCATTGAATGTGCACTTTCAAGAAGTAATTTCAAAAATTTTCTGTTATTTGACCTACAGAAATAAATATTACAGGTCAAAGCTGATAAAGAAAGTCATAATGCATTGCCAATTATGCAGTTTTGAGGACTTATTTCTTCAATAATTTAAAAGTTACGTGACTGTTAACCAACTTCGGTTTCTCAACTTGATCATTAAATTTATAGACTTATAATGAAATAAAGAATGCAAAAATATTAATTCAAAACAGATAGGCTATGAAAAACATACATTTTGAATACATGCTAATCGGCTAACGTTAGCTCAGATCTAATCATAGTAATTCTTTAAATATAAAAAAATTGTCCCAAGAAATAATTTCAAAATACGTACATTTCCAGGTTTTCCTTCATTCTAGGCTATTAGTGGAAGCCTAGAGTACGTTCAAGACAAAAAGGAAAATTATGATTAATAAGAACAGTCTTTCAAAAGATAGCCATGTGTGGGGAACACAGCGTCAGGATGTCTGAAGCAAAGAAGTACGTGCGTGTTCAACTTACAAGCGCGAATGTAAGTTAAATTATTATGAAACATCTCATAAGACATTACAAATACGCAATGGGATCACGAATGCTGAGACTACCCGACCAAACAATAAACAAGGTCATTACGTGGTTATCATATCTGAAAGTGTGTATAATGACACATTGGCAGCGAAATCTGACAAACACGTCTGCTATAAGTTCCCAAACTTAACACCATCTGAATAAACGCATTCTACGACATAGGTCTCTCCACTATAACCCTGTGGTAGCGAAGCTAATCTAGGGAACCGTTCCAAACTAGGAGAATCTGCAACAGAGACTACTGAGTATAATCAAGGATTTTTAGTATGACAATACACATGCGTTACCCTATAAAGCATAGAACGACTAAAAATGCACGCACCCAGAATAAACGGTGGCAGTAACAACTGAAAGAAAGGTGGGTGCCTTTTTTCTCTGTATTTGTCAACTGACAATAAGAAATTTATGGAAAAAAACAGACCAAAAGTCATCTAGGCACTATAGTATTATAAATTTGTATATTTGAACTTTCAGAATCATTTTGTTTAATTTACGATTTGAATATTCAATTCTAAACTAACAATAAGTAAGAAAAATTGAATATTTATTTGGCGATTAGTTATACCAATAACCCGGATATATATCCACTAAAGGTTCATATAGGAATTAACTGCAACTTACAGAAGGACAGTGGGATATCCTCGGACTTGCGCAAAAGACGCTTCTGCAGGAAAACGAGTGACATCGATTCGGGCAACGATTAATTTTGGCGCGACTTTCGATAGTTTCTCGACCGCATCGGAATAGGGTCCTTCAAAACGCAGACAATATCCACACCATGGTGCATAGAACTAATAAATTAATGAGATTAAAAATCAGTTCTACCTTAACAAGAGCACCTCCAGGTGAAGTAATGGCCTTTGTAAAAGTTCTAGAACAAGATATTTGATTGATAAATGGAAAACTACTCCGAACTAAGTTCGATAACTCTGTCACTATGAGCTGAAACCCAACTGGACAAAAGGATAATTAATATCCCAATTGCAAATCGGGACATCTAAAGCGGTAAAGGACAATGTATAGATATATGTTTATTTGATTATTCAGACAGAACAGATTAAAATTCAACAAAACAGGAGCAATGATCATGAATGTCAATGAGGGATGTATAACAACTTTGAAAAAATTAGATAATTGCCAAACAAATAATCACAAGATTATTTAGAATTTTCCAAACAAAACTTACGTAAAAAGCAAGACTATACTAGCCGCGTACTTTCATCCAATCAAAATACAGGTCAAGTTGACATTTAATTTGTCCATGAAATGCATTTGCTAATAAACTTTTAAAATATTAAGATTTTGATACTTTATTAAAGGGATTCTGTGAGTTTGAAATTTATTATATGATAATAATAAGACTGGTTCTACAGAAGTTGAATATTTTGTATATGAACCATTATATATATATATTTATTTAAAAGAGGGTTTTTGTTTTAAAACATCTCAACTAGTAGCGTATATCCAAAGTTTATTTTATTCTTAATATAACTTCAAACAATGTCCTTGTCATGCACATATAGATAAGAAGAAATCTTCGTAAACACTTGAATTACGTTTCGTTAAAAGCTTTTATTCTAATGAACTACGCCATTTTTGAAAGCATTCAATCTAACCGAATTTGACCAATGATGTGGACAAATATCGTAAGAGCAAACTGGTGCAAATGTGTGTTCTCAAGATTGTAAAGCATATTGGTTGCTAGTCATGAAGTATAAACAAATCGAATGTCATGTTTCATTTTAGATTCATGGCCGTTAGCGCCTTAGAAGATATAAAAGTAATTAATTTACTTGCTTTACCTCCTGCAGCTGTCGTTCCAGATAGCTAGCGGACTTATTCGAAAACACATTGTTTTATTCTGAAAATGTTAAAGAACACCTCGCTCGATAGCAAGGACAGGATTTTGGCACGGATTGAATGAAAATAATAAATCCCAAAATTTGGTAAGAGTCAAAGAATAAAGGAGTTTTTTATTTATTGAAACAAATATTTTTAAAGCCATCTTATCAGAACATAGTCGTGCATTAATTTATGATTCAATAAACTATTTTTCATATGGATTGTTGATTTTTTGCTAAGAAATCAATTCTTTGAATTTTCAAATGGCATTTTACCGCCGAAATCATTTACAATGTATTGTCCTTATTATGGAACAGGTTTGGTTATTCAAGCTTATAAGCACCCTCAATAGTTAGACTTGATTTTCTTTTAGGTTCTAAAGAGCAGATGGTAATTAATGCCTTTTTGCTGTTCAGATACAAATTGACATTTGAATAAAAATCTCTTTGTGGAATTATCAATAGTATAAACGATTGAAATATTTGTCAGTGAATACGGCTGCGGATTTGACGCGACGCCCTGTTTTGGCATATTCTAAAGAAGAACTTTGAAGTTTGCTTAGAATTTGACAGTTGCTATGATCTATCATCTGAACCCGGTAAAATCTTAAAAAAGGAATTAACTATCGATACATTCCTTAAAGATACTCGTATTTTTCATTAACTATATTCCTCTGTAATTGCAGTAAAACAGTAAGCATCATTAAGCATATTCTATTTGATAGCCTGCCCATTTAAACAAGAACTGCTGACAGAGTAACTTGCGATAAAGGAAGCTATTCAATTTATTTGGGCAAAATCATTCACATAGGATAAAATTATATTGAACCATAAATATCAGCCAGACACATGAAGCAATAATTTAGATAATAGTGTCATAATTTATTTGTTCGGTCAAGTCCACTGATAAGTATTCCAGTTAGTGTGCATGGGAATATAACCATATATTGATTTATAAAATTGTAGAATGAAATTTTAGAACATTAAAGTCCACAGCATGCACAAAAAGAACTTAATTATGAAATAAATTAAAGTTCTAGACGGTTAAATTAACCTATCAAATAAAATGAAAGCTATTTCAGTATGATAAAACTAGCGCAGGGTTAGTAGTGCCATTAAAAACTATAAAATAGCTGAAAATGAAGGCGTGAATGGGCAACTTAGTATTTTCAAGGCAAATTATTTGGTCGGTCTCTTAGAAGCATTGTTAACAAAAAAATTCATTTGATATAAAAGCCATTTTGAAATGTGATTTTAATGTTATAATTAATTTTCTTTGTTTAGCGGTCATTATTTAATATAATTTTGCCTAATTATTTCATTTCATTAACTTTCACAATTTGCAATGTGTTGCCTTAAAATTGACGCGGGTAAATTACTAGGGCCAATTGAATATGTGCAATAGATCCGTTCTTTCTCTAATTTGATAATTTTGTAAATATAACTTGCAAAGCCGAACTATTAATGGAATACCCTATCACCAGTAAATTATCTTCATTTTTACTAATCCTTGCGTCACTGCAATCAGAGGCCCACACCCATAACGGTAAGCGAAATTTTCATAAGCTCGATATTTTCTAATGGGAACGAATATATTTTTTACGTTTCATTTTTAAATCTGATTAATAAATCTTAACTGTTTGAGCTTTTCTGAACCCACATTCTGTTACATTTGGAAAATTTTCTACATTTAACATGTTCTTAGTTTAACAACTTTTTATAAAGTGCAATCATGGCCCTGGTGTCACTCTTATATGCATATTCGGTATCTGTGCTTATATCGAAGCTTTATTAATTCACACTGATGTATTTTGAGCATGTACATTATTCTGTAGGCTATCTTAATTTCCTCAATATTTATCGTCTTTTGATTTATATTTAATCATCATTTACAATCCTAAAGCTTTTGTCATTTTTCCGACCCTATTGTTTTGCTTTGCTTCTGTTTCAAATATTTTTCTTATCAACTTAATGTTGGACTTTCGATGCTTTCCATCATCCCTAAATTGTGTGAAATTTAAGTTATTAAATTTTCTTTTGCAAGATGTAATCTGATCCGGGGAATCATATATTGGCCTTACGTTATTTTATTGATACAACAGAAATTTTGATTTGACCCGTTGACTCTCCAAAATTAGTTATATGGTGCGATTGGAAACGCCTTTCTAATTTGAAATCGCCCTTGTGATTTATTTCCTTTTTTCCTATGCAAAGTTGATTACACTCCGCGTCTGGGCGTTTCACTGATTAATGAAGAGGAAGCTAATTGAATTGGACTTATCTAATCCTAGTACTGTTGCCTGTGTAAAGCAGAATACTCCTTTTGGACATAGATTTAATTTTATGGCTTATTAAATACTCTTATGCCATGTACTATTTGCATGACCTTTTAAGTAACTGCATCTTTCCACCTATCTTGCTTTGGAAGTGAACCTTAGAAACTGCACTTTTCAGCTTCAAGTTCCCATCAGTTTGCCACATTTTTTTCAAATCATCCACCAACTTTGGTCAATGGGAATGATGAAAAATAGTAGTTGTATGCTCACAACGGGTTCGCGTCAGAGCATACCTGTCAACCGAGGTCATATTTGACGATCGGTCTACGGTCAACATGGGCCTCTTGGCGTTGTATCAAAGTGACATAGTCCCTTTTTCCACACTCAAACAAATAAAAAATAATTTATGTTTGTTTAGTTAGTGTAATCTGTTAAATGTTAAAGTCATTCATTTTGTTTTTGAATGCAGTTATATGTGCCAAATATTATTTGAAGTGTTTTTCGTTAGGTTGCAAGAATTGATTTGCAAATGGAAAGGTAGCTGTTATATCTTCACATGTAAATAAATTCCGTTAATTATTCTCACTACTCTGTAGTTAATTATATTATGTTTTGCGCCTAATTTGAACTTGGTGGGAACATTTTTCTTCGTTAAGTACAGAAAATGTTTTCTTTGCCCCTTGAGCACCTGGTGTAATTTTACCTTGACAATTCACTGAATAAGTGCCAAATGAATTGACTTAATAAAGTGCTGTTTTTTCCTCGGCAAAAGCCCATTATCTCCTTTGAATAATCACGGATGGTTAAATTCTTCTGCGTTCTCTCCATGGAGGCATTTTTCTTTTTCAATATATTAGCACACTTAAATATGAGGGAGATCGGTTTTTTAACTGAATCAGATTAACAAACTGAGCAATCTGTTACCTAAAATTAAATCACCATTTGGCTTGAAACTGATGAATTTAGCAAAGGTTTATTATAATCAGTTACTTGTTACTTTTGGAGTGAGGAAATTCTATCTTGAATTCTGTTGCGTCTATCTATCCAAATAGATGCAATTGGTTTTGTGTGCAGTCCTCAACGCCTTTATTGCCTTGGTAATTTTCGATTCCTTCCTCTAGGTTGCTAAACTTTATGGATGGCTAATTCACTTTCTATTGTTATAGGGAGAACTGACAGATGCGCATCTGTTTTGTGAACAGCTCGTCTGATTCACTTGAAAATTGCCAGTTTCTTGCTATTCTAGTGTGCTTTAGATGTCACTTTAGGCTGTCTTTAAAGTATACAGGGTCATTGTAAATAGAGTTTTGATATCATTCTATTCAGTTTGACTATGTTGACATAGTTTATATCACTACATTTTAATTTGAAGTGTAGGTACAAGCGAACTTAGCGAGGACATTTTGTATGTAATTTTTGTGTTTGACAGAATTTTTTTAAACTGAAAGAGGGTCTTTTGAAAGTTGGTCTATTGTTTGCTTGTACCTTTGCAAATGGTATGATTTTCAAGATAGCTGTTAGTTGACCTTTGGTCACATCGACAGTGTTCTTTTCTAATTTGTCACGAATTGACAACCAGGTCCATAAAGTGGGACAGTCTAAGGTGTAGAAGCCATTTGCGTTCGATAAAAGTTAGTATGACCATCTGTTTTTTTATCTCATATCGGTGCTGATACCTTTGTCGTCGCTTGATACACCAAACGGCTACGTCCAAATACTTGGATTCACTGGACTGTTCGACTTTTGTTTGACTAAATTTATATCTTTTAAGAATTAATTGTGCAGATTTTACTTCGCCCTCTATCCAACGATTTTTTATGGTTCAGTTAAGCATAATTACTCCCAATAAGGTAAATAGGTATTAATCTTCAATTGTATACCAAACTTGATTCCTTAAATGGTTCTGCGCTTCCTCAACTAAGAGTCCGTATTGCATTTATTTGACCTTTACACTTGGCACGGGAGCGGTAAACACTCCGACTCCATTTGGTCTTGCTATCACCTTTCTTTCTGCCTCCGCTATCTTTTATCTTTGAGCACTTCTATTTAATAACTTAAATTGATGTGGTGAGGTTGCCTAAAATTTGTTCGTGTGTATTTTAACAGCGCTGATTCCTTATGACGGGTAGCAAAAAGCAGTAAAATCCTATTTTTATTGAACAGTACTTACCTCATGAGTATGTGATGTTTTCCTTCACATTTTCTCCTCTTTTCAAATGTTGCTCTTAATGCGAAATTAACATTTGAAACATGCATTTTACAGTTGATTATGTGATTGTTCACTTGTATGCCAAATCCATAAGGGCAAATTTAAATAAAAAGTTCTTGCTGTGTAGAAGTTAGATGAATTGGCGAACTTATCTCTAATTGTCGAATGTTTGAAGGTGGAGAAAAATGGATGAACAGCTTAATGCCGAAGTAGGCTAGTTAGGACTTAATAAATAGGATTAAATCAATATCCAACCGTATGTGTCGCGTGAGTAGGAGCATTGCACTTTTTTATCCCTTTAATAATTCCCCTTTATTCTCTTCTTTACCAATTGAGATTCTGAAGCATTTATTCCTTGAATAGGTCTATTCTGGCACTTCTCAGACGTTCACGTTGACTTAGACTACACAAATAACAACTGTACGGGCCCCTACGGTGATTTGAAATGTGATTCTCCACTTCGTCTTTGGATCTCTGCGCTCAATGCTTCTCGAAAGATGGTACCTACTCGTCCCGATTTTGTCATTTTCTCTGGGTGAGTTCAAGTTCCTGCTTAAAGGCCTGTCGCATACATTTATTTATCAGTTTTCAGGGTCGAAGGACTCTAAGCTTCCCTTTAGATTGGCACAGTGTAAGCCAAAAAAATTATCATTCAAAATGTCTTGTCTTGCATCATGGTTTCAGCATAGGGTGCTTCATGCAATATGGAGGAAGTTAGACACAGCTGTGTCTGGAATTTGGGTCTTTCTGGATAGAGCCTGCTTGCTTTTTTACTTGCAGGTGTGATATTCTCATGAGGCAAAAATTTGGAGCTTAAGATAGTGAGCTTATAGAATAAAATGAGTATTCCTTAATCGCAGGCAGTCAGGATTTAAATACTTCGCTGGTTTCATGAAGGTAGTTAGAGATATTGTGATTGCTAGAGAAAACCTTGATGGATCGTTTGACGACTTCTTTGTTTTCGTTTTTGTTGTTGATTTAACGATAGCTTATTGTTGAGGTATTACTCATTGTAGTTGCTAACACCTCTCTTCTTGTCTTCATTGCGTGAATCATTATCCTCTAGATAACCTCTTTTGCTCATTAAGAGGTCTGTTATAATGATGACTGGAAGTCTCTCTTCTAACCTGAGCTCTGGGTACATGTTGAGTGCCTGTCAAGTGATGTTGGCGTTGGATACTAACACTCCTATGCTTTAGCTTGGGCTCTGTAAAACACACGGCAACCCATTTCGGAAGTTAATGCTCTCTCACTGGTTGCAGTTTCTGCTTATATAGTGGCCTTTGATTTTCTTCCTCACCAATATTGAAGACATGTATTTATTTATATCAAATGGTGGACGTTTTGATAGTTATCATTAGCCCTTTAGTTGACTTCTGGCCTCACAGAGGGGAAGGAAAATCAAAGTGAAAAAAGTCGAGGGGGGGGGGGGGAACAGAAGAGTGTTTCAAAGATGTAAAAGAGACAGACACAAAGGTAGGAAAAAGGTGAGGTGAGTTCTGTGAAAGTAGTCGAATATGACAAACAGTGGGGTGATGGTAGTTTGAAGTCAAAAGTCAACTGCCGGTTAATAGACTTTTTTGCCGTATGAATATACGTTGCCCAGGGTGCACCACGTGGAGGTAAGTCTATCGCACACCCCGGGAAGGCATAAATTGATTCTGAAAATTTCAGGCACTAATAAACTCACAAGGAAACAACGTGATCAATCGTTCTTTTATTAACATACCTTAAACCAGTAGGCTTCTTGTTATTCACCCTATTCGGTTTCGCTTTGAGGAAAATTTCAAATTAAGGTATTAATTAAATGCATATATTCGCATAAAATTATTAAATGACCTCATCTTTTCAAAAATAAATAAATAGGTTTTTTTCTGAAGCCGCAATAAGTTGGTGTTTAGTTCAGCAGTGATAGACAAGTACGAGACGCGTCAGAAGGGTTAAATTTTTTGCCTCAATGAAGATGATCATTTTTGACATGGCTGATGTTTAAGCGCCTGAGGTCAGATCGGCTAAACTATTGAAAGAGACCCTACTTCTTGGTACCTGCTAAGTAAAATGATTTAAAATGGTTGATTAGTCCTTCGTACTTTGAGTGGAATATTTTCATACCAAAAGTCTCATATGTGAAATACAAGCTGAAGGCGGAATTGAACATATCCTGTTGGTAGGGATGGTGGTTGGGGGGGGGGGGTTTGGGGATGGAATCGTATTGATTTTATTCATAGCTTCTTTGTTTTTGTTTCTACCTTTTACTAAATCTTCTTAACTTCGTATATTGTTTGTAATTATCTACATCAATCTTCATCACTTTACCATATTCCAAAATTAAGTCGTTATCTCGAATTTTCAGAAATAAATTCTGCATATTCCTGTAATCTAACTTTGAGACTGTTTTAGGCTACAATTCATTCGTATTAAGCGCGATTTAAAAATTGCCATCTAGTTTTTTCTTAACTCTACATGTGAACAGAGATTTTCATACGATTTTGCCAAGATTAGATCATGACAGCTCATGATTCTTTATTGGCTCTTATCCAGTTCACTTCCTGTGATTGTTGTGCCAATAGTTTTTTGCCTCCTGATGATTAGCAGACAACAAGAATTTCGACTAATATTTCAAAAGTTAGAAACAATTATTGAGTGAGATAGCAGGAGTATTGAATGAGCCAAATAAAAACGCTGGAAGCTGAAGAGAACTCCAAGGAATAAGTGTTTTTCAGCGTATTCGGGGTGGAGACGACGTTGTGATAATGGCATTAAAGCGAGAGGCACCCTTAGTAAACTTGACTGTTTTAATTCCTTTGTCGACTAGTAATCAATAGATAGTTGACATTATACATGAGTTAGTGTGATAGTTTGATAAGATTGTATAGGCCTTATTAACACGTATATTGAAATAGTTTGCTTTAGTGATGCCGCTATTCCATGACCGTTTTGGAATTTATATTTTCAGTGTAAGTTTACCTATAAATTAACTCAACCTTGCTTTTAAAGAAGCGATAATGCGTCGATTGATCAGTTCAAAAGTGGTCGAAAAACTGCCCCTCATCTCTATGTTGTTATTTGGAGATATTAGTTGTTCATTCGGCGATCACCTAATTACTGGCCTCAATATACGTCACTATGGTCATCCTCTCACCACTTTAACCGGATATGTCATTTAGAAGTCGGCTTTGACATTCCAAGAATTGCTTTCATGCGTGCATACGGTATTCTGCTTTTCTGTCTTTAATAATAATTCGTGTATTTTAGCGACTCAGTCGCGCACACTAACACAACGCGAGAGGCCTTTGAAGCCACGATGGAAACCGTGGCTTCAGTCCTGAAGGCTACCTTTCCATCCAATCGAAAGGACAGCGTTCCGGTGATTTTAAGCCTTGGCAATCACGATGTCTATCCCGACAATAGTATGTCTGCTGAAGATGACGATCCTCTCCGCAGGAGCTGGTGCACTCGTCTAGGTTCAAGTACCAGGTTCTGGGGCGATTGGATTGCTAATGAAACGAAAGCAGATTCGAGTCGGTTCAATGATGGTGAGCTGTATTTCCCATGTTTTCACTTATTGTATTATTCCTCATATTCTTACTGATTTGCTTACTAGATTGTTAAGGTGTATTTGAACAACAGGACTGACAATAAGCAATCATTTCCTTAAGTAAGGCAGATTGTTGTGTATTGGATAGCAGTTTTTAAACAATGAGCGGTTAGGAGAGAACTGGGAGTGCGCTTGTGTGTGTATGTGTGTGTGTTTTAATCAATAAATTGGTATGGTTTAGCGGCCACATCTATGTTGTTTATCTATAAAATTGAGCCATTACCCCGAGTGAATCGTAGTTTATACAAATTCCCTTCACACAACTGTACTCTTCAGAAAACAATTCTAATCAGACCATTGCTCTAACTTTAATCTTCACCGCAAAGTAGGTAGGTGGGAAACGACGATTTGCGGTATAAATGTTAATGTGTTAGGGGTCATCTCGTTGTGGCTAAAAAGGTTAAATTGTATATGTCAAACGTGTGTACATTCATATTTAGTTGCATAGTGAATGGGAATTGTTTTTAACGTCCCCCTGATCCGGGAGCTGAACGCGCTAATTAAAATTAGCCACTACAGGACACACGACAGTTCTCTTAGGGAAATTTGAGGTCACCGCATGATTAGACGCTTCGATTGCCACTGTGGGCTTGGTAACAGTCTTAAGGTTGCCTCGGGGTCAAACGTTTCGAGAACCACAGTGAGGTTGAGGTACTTTGGTTCCCAAGTTTAATGACGGCATAGATAGCAATTTTAGAAGCACATAGAGGCATCTTTTAATAATTAACATTAAATACACTAAGCAAAGTATTCACAACAATTGGGTCTGGCAGAGGCAAGATATACAGTAACCACTATTATGCAAAACTCATATTTTCTACACCTCCTCTCGAGCGGAATTAATCAGAGCGGTTGGTCTCGAACACTACTGAATGTACGCTAAAGTGTATTGATATCATGACCTCATGATACTACTTTTCTACCAAAGATAATCGTTGGATAAAACTTTCTAAAATTTGAGTTATAATGTGATTTGATGAATATACACCTCTTCTCAGCCAAATGACATGTGATTTATACTCAGCAGTGCACTCGTTAAGTGCTATAGGTAGACAACGCGCTGGTCAATATGAGGTAGTGATAAATTGTGTGTTGCCTTGGCACTGGTCCAGAATATCTTTCCTCTACCCAAATCAATCCGTAAATCCTCCCCATAGTTACCCTGGGTAGTTATTATCTCGCTTGGAGACGGCAATTTTGCATCTCCGGCCCAATTCGCAGCTAAGTTCTTTTTTTTTGCAGATTCGCAAGTCTTCAAAAGTGACTAAAGTGGCTAATCTTCAAATTTCACCTTTAGAGCTAAGCCTATTTATAGAAATTCCATTTCTGGTAAACTAACTAGGGCTTTCGATCCTGCCAAATTTGTAGAAATATTGGAAGTATTACTCCATATGTGAGATATCGAAGGCAATTAATAATCAGGTGTTATTTTTTTAGAAAAAAAACGTGGAAAATGGAAAAATATGCATAAATTGCGTGTTGTGTTTGAAATTCGCATTGTACATCGGCATTCGTTTGAAGTGTTTGAAACTACTCTGTACTTCACCGTAGAATCTATGGCTTTGAAATTGCGGCCTTCAATAATGGTCTATCACCATTTTTTGCCCTCGAAAGGCTCAATTTTAGAGTTTGTAACTTGTCAATAATTTGGCATGTTCCCAAACACTAACGTCTGATGACCTTTTGGCAAGTTGCATTTTGAAAACCACCTTGATTGCATCCTAGCATTAATTAATTTTTCCAAGAAGACTTTTCCTACCATGTGCCTTTTGGGGGGGGGGGGGACTATACTTCTGGAAATAATGCCAGTTGGAAATATTAATCGTTAATTGTTTGGGGGGGGGGTATGATTTCGCGAATCCATTGTTTTAACTCTGCATAAGCATGTGATAGGTAACACATAAAGTGGGACACTGGGCTACTTTTGCCTCTATGAAGTCCACCTTATTCATGGTTTGTGGAACAAGTAGTGCATTATTTTTCTTCTATGTGAGGAGGTTTTTATGTACTGATTGCCAAGCAAAAGTATTTCCTCTTTGTTATCATTCCTCATGCGAAGAAATGAGTACCATTGGTAGGGGTTGTGATTATAGCCCAGGTTAACTTTTCACAAATAACCATGCAACCATTCATCCGTTGGGCTTTGTTTAGTTCCTCTCACTCATCAGGTGATACATTCTCGAAAGCTCAGGTACGCGAAATGATGAATAAGTTGGTAAATCAAACCACGTTTTTTAACATGGGCGTCGAGATTGCTGTTCCTTACTTGACTTGCTCTAAGAATACGTTGGCTGTTCAAGATATTGCCTGTTCGGGGTCTTTTTTCGTCCAAATATGGCAATAAGCAATTTCGATGCAGTCATTGGTTTTTCTTCTACTGTCTTATATATACATATATATTAAATTTCATTGTTACAATTTTCTGATTATGAGAAGATGGAGACTGCAGCCATGACGGAAAGTCACGTTTTGGTACCTATTTGTTTTTAAGGCATCTAGGCTCCACTGAAATCGAAGTGGAATGCATCAGCATACTAGCTTCTGACAAATTTGATTTCTGGTGGGATTAGCTGAAATTATAGATTTGTACAAATGTGTACTGCTTTCTCAGTCCACTTGTGGTGTAAGAGTCTGCATGCACGATTGCACCTTTATCGGTTTCTTCTCCAAAAGTTTAGTCTTCAGAATTCCCCTTCATACTCAAAGGGTTGGCAGCCCAGCCTATCATTGATTTGTTCATTTCCATAAAAAGCTTATTATTGCTATATTTGGTATTTATTTTCAGTGAGTTTTTGATAGAATTTAATTAATCTTAGGATCTTATTTATTTTTGCGCTCTAGATAATCTATAGGAGCTAAAATTCGTTCTATTTTAGGCTGTTTTTACTCCCGCATCGTTCGAGTAGGAAATCTAACCTCCATCCGCATCATATCTCTCAACGGACTAATTTATGCACGACGTAATACTCTTGGCAACGCTAGTCTTTCTGACCCTCTGGGCCAATTCTCCTGGTTAATCACTCAACTGAAATCGGCCAGGCAGCAAAATCAAAAGGTTTGTAGTTGCTGCTACTTGAATCTTATAAGTAGACCAAATTGAATACTGTTTCGTTTCTATCGTCTTTGCAGGTCATAATTGTGATGCATTTTCCTATTGGCGCCCCAGAAAATTCTCCAGTCGTGTTCCGCCATCTTCATGATGCTTACAATGCTAGACTTCTCAAAATCTTTTCTGAATTCGCTGATGTCATTTCACTTGGGCTCTTCGGTCATCAACACACTGATAGCTACCGAGTTTTAGAAGTTCAATCAACTGGTAAGTATCTCGGACTTACTAACTTGTTACGTGTTCTCTCGTGGTATTGATTTTCTGTATTCTCTTTTTTAGATAAAGCGATGAAAAACACGATTGTACCCATTTTTTTCATTCCCTCAATTAGTCCACTTTACCTCGAAAATCTGGGAGGATTTCGACCTCGAATTCGTATTTTCAACTACTCTGTGAATACCCCAGACACTTCTCTTCCCTCATCACTTGAAATTCAGGATTTCCACCAGTTCTATGCAGACATATCAAACACAAAGACACCCTGGGATCTAGAGTATGTTGCTACAAAGGCCTACAATCTGTCCAATCTCTCAGGTAGTAGTATTAAAGGCCTTCTAGATAGTTTTGAAAATGATCAGGAGCTATGGTGCTCCTATTGGAACCACGAGCTTGGAATTGGAATGGCCCACAATTCGGGGCCATGTCCACAGCTTAATTCTACCCGACACTGCCGTCACATGTGCTCTTTAAGGCATGTTCATTTTCCCGCTCTCGATGAATGTCTTTCAAATTGCGATAAAATTGCGGATTCAACTGTAGCCTCTCCACGAACGAAGTCCGATGATAATTGGAACGTTGTGCCTATTATTGTCCTCGTAATTGTGGCGTTCTTGGCTATACTTATCGGTGTTGTTCTACTGGCAAATCGAGAGTTGTGTCGTCGGAAGAATGGATCAAGGGGCTCTAGACGAAGGCTGAACCTTAATGAAAGAAGGAGTACTTACCTCATTGCCTATCGTCAACCAGGTTTGAATGGGGTTACTCTTAGACGTTCTACTCTAGATGAAGAAGGGCTAGTCCTTGGAAATGGGTTTCAAAACGACGAACTCAAAGCTCTGAATGTTGAAGAGGAGGCGGAGGATGGTGCATATGATGCAGATGCAAGCGGAGACGAAGATGAAATTCCAGTAAGAATTCCAACAATCCCTAAAGGGGACTTTTACTCCTTGAATGGTTCCATTGGAAGTAGAAGATTTATGCAGTCAGTCAAGCCAATTCCCCTCTACTCATCTCAACAGGTGTCACCACCAAGGAATCATGACATTTTTGATATTGAAGATGTTAATGATAAGCCTTATAATACTAATGTATCAGCTTGAGTATGTGTGTGCGTGTGTGTGTGTGTGTATGCGAACTGACTTTTTACCTGCGTTGCATTTTTTTGCCAGCCCATGCCTATGCCTCTCATTTTTAAAGTCTTTCGTCAAAACTCGCCTATGCTTTTTGTCTCAGGGAGGCAATAATGCCAGTGGAGAAGATTCAAAGTGTGTCGTATTTTGTCTCTTCAAATTTATTGGGACAGCTACAGCAACAAAATGTGATCCAATTATCTTAATGGATTACAGCTCATGGCAGTAAGTAGGATAGGTTTTGAGTAAGAGGAACATCAGCATGGTTTAATTGAGCGCGGAATTTGGTAGTTTGTTAAGTCGGAATTAAAGTTACTACTCTATTTGCATTCCAGAGATCTTTGGGTCTTTGTTGTCTCAGGGGGAACGAAGTCCTTTGATTTGTGTCTCGAATTTCTAATTTTTAATGAATTGACTTCCAATCACAGGGTTGATATTTATGTATGCGATGTTCGAATCTATGATCATGATTATAAATACCACTTCGAATTGTTAGCATTTTATAATTAAGAAGGGGCACACGATGAATGAGAAAGGTGGATGCATTTGAAGCGTGGGAGAGGTTTCTTAATTTGACTTTCTTTGGAAAATTCTACTCCAAGGTCGCAAATCTGCAGCGTTTCAGAAATTAGAACGTCAATAGTAGAGTGGTTACTAAATGCATGCTTTACGGTAACCAAGTTTATGAGAGAGAGAATAAGAACGGGACTTTTCTAAGTAGTGGACGAGTACTGGCTGATTAACACCAAGGTGGTGTCAAAGGCGACAGCGTGTTAATGTGTGCTTTTATACTACTCACCACGAGAGGGCTCAACGTAGCTGGTTTCAACATATGAGTATCGATAGATGATTGCAAAATGTTCTAGTTAAAGATTGATCAAGTTATTTTCCTTAAACTCATGCTAATTCAGATGCTAGATTTTACCCATGAGAAGCTTCAAGAGAATTCAAACTTCTTTTAATGAAAATGATTATAGATAGAAATAGATGCTAATTGCGTAATTCGGGTTCCGGAGGTATCTCCACTTTCCAGAAGGAGATATTGAACCAAAGTCCTTCCCTCCTCTGCATTGTTATTTCCAAATCACATTCATAAGGCGATTGAGATTTGGAAGCAGTTTAGTCTACTTGTTTTACAATAGTTGCAAATAAGATATTTTTGGGAACTTGGTCTAGCTAGGCGTGTATCCAAGAAAACTTTGGACAATAGGCAAGGTACCATGAGAGGCCATGGTTGTCAATAAGTGTATATGTAGTACTCATGAAAATATTTTCGTTATTGTTCTTACTGTCCTCAACATTAAACTGCTCGGGTAGGACATCAAAAAGTATCAAGAAAAGTATTTAGTCTTAGGGATCTATTCTCAACAAAGCATGACCTAGAAGGTTCTTTAAGTCGCGGCACTAGGCACAATCTATAAAAGAAGTATTAGGGAAGTGTACCAGTTTCTGCAAGCGACAGATAATTATCTTATTTGAAGAAAAAAGCATCTCATATTAGCTTCTATTAATGGGAATTGTATTAAAGGAGGGGGTTTGAAAAGAGATGCCTGAATTCGAACATAGTACTTATTGAAGAGTGAAAAAGTGGAGGGAAGATCTTCTGTTTTGAAAACACCAATCCCATACAGCTTTATTTGCTACTAAGTGGGGATTATCTTGTAGATTTTCGAAAGCATCTAATTGAAGGGGGGGGGGGGAGGGCCATAATGCTAGGTTTTGCCTATGAAATACCAACGTTTATAACGTGAGTCCATTCAGACTATTATTTGTTTGCTGATAGAAGAATGCGCATCATCAAACTGCAACAATTAAAAAGCAAGTGATATATATGTAGCTATATCCTTTCACCGGAACAATAACACACAACCAAAAATAAAGGCTTTCTGCGTCACGCGTCTGTTTCTTCAATGCCGTCGAGGCAGCTCAACTGATTCCTGGAACCATTCCAAATCGGGAGATTTTGCCATGGAGACTACTGAGGATAAGTTACGGTTTAGCCGTTTTTCAATCCGCTACAACACATACTAGTTAAAGTATTTGATTTGTAAATCAGTTAAATTTAATCCAAAGAAACAAACTACACTGGTTAAAAATGAAATAATTAAGTGAATTTCAATTTTAATATAGAAGACAAATTCGCCCATTGTGGGACACGTCATTGCATGCCTGCACGCCAGGATTGGGAGGTGCGACCGTACAAACAGTGACCAATCATTAACCACTGTTTGTTTAACCTAATCCGCCATCCTGATCATGATTAAGCTTCCTGCGAGTACACTTTATCCGCGATATACGTACTGAATAAACGTGCTCCGTGCTACACGTCTGTTTCCTTTCATGGCTGGGCTATAGCTTAGCTGGTTCTGGGAGTCTAGCTAGATGTTGGAGAATCTGCCATAGAGATTTCTGAGTCGGTCAGGCTTTACTAGTGTAACAATGCGCTGCACCTTTTCAAAATGGCATATTTTATTTCCATTTCTGCCGTAAATCTTTTAACT